GCACGTGCTGCTTCTTCGAATTTTGCCCCCAGAGATATGCATGTTTCCAGCTGTCTAATTCGCTCCTCCACACCTGTACAGCCGCCGGGCAAACAACGAGCATAAAGTGAAACCTGGTTTGCTGGCTCATGCGTGAATGCTGAGCCATCCTATGGCGTCTGAAGATCCTAAACCCTAAACCCTAAACCCTAAACCCTAAACCCTAAACCCTAAACCCTAAACCCTAAACCCTAAACCCTAAACCCTAAACCCTAAACCCTAAACCAATCCTTCATCATCCTGCACTTGCATAGCAACACCCCAACCATCCACTCCGACCGCCTCGGTTTGGGTGAAACCGGCGCAGATGCTCGCACCCTGTGATGTAGGGGGAAACCGGAAAGCGCTCAGACCTCGGCTCGCCCATGTCTTCTCAACCCTCGACCACCAGGGTCTACGGCAGAAGCACAGGGCTTAGGTGTTTGAGTTCGGGTTTAGGGCGGTTGCCGGGCTTCGAGCTGAGCCGAGGCTTGGGAGACTTGGGGTTTCGCTCGCCGCACACCTCATGGACATGACAACAATGCCTTCTAACCCTCACCAACGGATCCAATGGCTCCGAAAAACCGAAGTCCCCACAAAGACCTAATCCCTAAACCCCAGACTCTAAACCCTAAACCCTAAACCCTGAACCCCAACCCTCTAAACCCTCAGGAATCTCCTGGGAGCATCGCCGCACTTCTGGTGGGAAGGCTGTTGAGCTTCTCATACATCTCCAACCTTTGGAGAGTTGGGGGAGTCCGTGGAGTTCAGGGTTTCAGTTTTTCAGGGCCCTAAACCCTAAGCCCTAAACCCTAAACCCTAAACCCTGGGTTTAGGGTTTGGGGATTGGGTTGCAGGGTTTAGGGATTAGGGTTCAGGGATTAGGGTTCAGGATTTAGTGCTTAGGGTTTAGGGACACCCTGAACGATCTTAATGCCCTGTATGCCTTAAATACCCTAACTAAACAGCCCCGCCCGCCCCACAAACCCTCAACCCTAAAACCTGTAAAACCCCCCAATGTCCTACTTGGAAGCTCTTTTGACTTAGCAAGTCTACTTCGTACCCCCTAAAAGCCTTATATTCGTCCCCATACCCCATACCCTAAACCCTAAACCCCAAACTCTAAACCCTAAACCCTAAACCCTAAACCCCAAGTCAAAAGAGGGCTTCCAAGTACACACCCCCAAAGAACGCTGCGTCCGGGAGTCCCCGCGTCCGCTCCTCCGGTCTGGTGACATGCTTCGAGGGGGGCAGTTCCTCGCGGATAGGAGTTTAGGGTTTAGGGTTTAGGGTTTACTATTTAGGGTTTAGGGTCTAGGGCTTAGGGTTTAGGATTTAGGATTTGGGATTTAGGATGTAGGGTTTTGGGGTTTAGGGTTTAGGGGTTTACGGTTTACACTTTAGTGTTTAGGGCTGCTTGCCAAAGAGGGCTTGATTCGGGGCAAAAGTCTTCTAACTCTGAAGCCCCAAACCTGCAACTCGAAAAGTCAAGCCCTTCACCCCCAGATCCCTAAACCCTCTCTAAACCCTCTCAAAACCCTCTCTAAACCCTCTCTAAAACCCTCTCTAAACCCTCTCTAAACCCTCTCTAAACCCTCTCTAAACCCTCTCTAAACCCTCTCTAACCTCTCTAAACCCTCTCTAAACCCTCTCTAAACCCTCTCTAAACCCCCCCAAACGCCTAGTAGGCCCTCAGCCCTTGAACCACCGAACGCCCCAAGCAGGCGGCTCCCGCGCGATCTTGACCGGAGCCGCCTTCAGCTGTTCCGGGCCTCTGGGCGGCTGCGAGCAGGTTTCGGGGGCTTAGGGTTTAGGGTTTAGGGTTTCGGGTTTCGGGTTTAGGGTTTCGGGTTTCGGGTTTCGGGCTTCGACACGACAGAACCTTCCAGCCCAGCAATCAACCATAAACGTCCCTAAAGCCTAAACCTCCCAGCAGAGCATAGCTTTAGCTTCGCGGCTACAGGTGGTCAGCAGCCACCGAAGCATGTGAGCAGTAGGCTCCTGTGGGGGTTCGGGGTTTAGGGTTTAGGGCTTAGGGTTTAGGGTTTAGGGTCTAGGGTCTAGGGTCTAGGGTGTAGGGTGTAGGGTGTAGGGTTTAGGGTTTAGGGTTTAGGGTTTAGGGTTTAGGGTTTAGGGTTTAGGGTTTAGGGTTTAGGGTTTAGGGTTTAGGGTTTAGGGTTTAGGGTTTAGGGTTTTAGGGTTTAGGGTTTAGGGGTCGGCTGGGGTGTTTGGGAGGCAGATGCGCGTTTGGACTTGGAAAAGCCTCGGGGATGCAGGAGGGAACCGCCATACCAACGTTCTGCTTGTTGTTTGTCTTGAGGGTTTAGGGTTTAGGGTTTAGGGTTTAGGGTTTAGGGTTTAGGGTTTAGGGTTTAGGGTTCAGCATCTCAAGTCCGAGCATTCACTAGTCAAGCAGCCTGTCAAGCGTTGGAAAAAAATCCCACCCACCCAAGAAACCCATAACATTGAGAAAATATAAAGT